TTTTTTTTTTTTTTTTCGATCTCATTTAACGAAACCGTCTCGGAAACGGGGGACCACGTTAAACGTTATCGTCGACGACACGGGCACTTCAATTAGTTTGACTTTTAATCGAGCTTTCAGACGGGCATTTCAACGAAGGAGGCATTGCAACGCAGGGTTTCTTAGCTAAGGGGTAGAATCTTTTTCGAGTTATTCGCGTAATTGAAATATATGACTGCTTGGGAAATTCTTGTGAAAGAGAGTGGTAGGAATACGGAGTTTTCACGACACATTATACGTGGTTACGCTTGAAATTTCCACGACGACGGTATCGAAGGTGCTTCGGGGAAAAGTACAGGAGCGAATCGCAGGGAACGTCCGTTGGAGCGAACAAAAACTCTTTGTTCGCGGAGCAACAGGACGTAACAGCACTCAGACTCTCCGATGAGCGTCTCAAAGCGGTATTACGTTTAAAGATTCATGCTGGGACAAGGCTCAGGTTGGTTGGAAAAGTGTGTTTTGCTCGCCTTCGGTCCAAAGTCGAGTCGAGTTTCGGGACGATGAAACAGTGGGATCCAACCGAGACCACGTATACAGTCGCCTCGGGAAGTATTTAATGTACTTAATATTTCGCCAAAATGCTGCTAAACATAACACACTAGTGCACCTGCAATAATAGAATAGAAGTGTCAGTTCGGTCTACTAATACGCGAGTTAAGCGTTCGCGTTATCTCGTTCGACTGCCTTTCATTTCTCCGCCAGTCGTCCTTGTCAGTGCAAACGAATTTTCTACGGCCTTGGATAATGTTTCACGAAGGTACGCTGTCACGCATACAAGATACACGCGGTTGCGTGTGAACAGGTACGTTAAAAGGAACGGTGAACTCAACGAAATAGAAAACGATGGGCGATTACTGGATTCGGGAGCGGAAATTTATTACCATCGTAGACAGTAATGATAAATGTTTCATGACTCATCTCGAGAGTAACTACACTAAAACCTCCCGTATCTGAACTGACAGAAAGATACAAGCGTTCGGATAATAGAACAGTCACTTGTCTGTTACTAAACTTCATTCATGTGAATAGAAATCAAGAATATTAAAAGTTTGCTTGATTATTAATGGATTCCATATATT